TGTTTTTTGTTTGCTGCAACCCAAACTGTGGCCACCGGTGGAGAGACTGAAAATTTTACTCTCTCAAATCGAGGTTGGAGATCTAACATATCACTCTTTTTTGTTATTATGTAAAACTTGGTTGATGAGAGGAAATTCATTCTCAAGTATTGGGGGTTTTTAACTGCACTTCCCAGAACAAATTGTTCAGCCTTATGATACTTTATCAACAAATATTGAAAACCTTCTATATGTGAATAATTTTATCGTAAATGCTAACTGAATCAAAATAGACAACAGATTAGTGATATAAGAAACTGAAGGTGGCATTCAGCAGAGGATATATGGCAAGAACTCTTTCTGCTCATCGTTCTTTTCTCTTCTCAAACTCCCAAGTTTTCAGAACTGGAGGAGGGAAGTTTAAAGATAAATATAAAATCGTACTAAGATACAAGGTACTGAAAGATCAGTTTAGCTAATAGAGAATATCATTAACTTAGTTACACAGAAGCATTTGATGAGATAGATTATCACAAACGCAGCAGAGATTTTTTAGGCCTTTTCTCTGACAAGCGAGTAGTACATGGGCTTTATTTATAATATAGTTGCTTTATGCACCTAGAGTAGTAAGCGGTATGCGATCACTTAATGAGGCTGGGAGCCTTGAGAACTCCATTACCATCGCCATGGAAATTGACGTTGGTGTTGTTGCTTAAACCAATAAGCTTTTGATTATCACCGTTGAGGAGAGCAGGTGAAGATGGTGGCGAGCCGCTATTCAGTATGTTGGGAATGGATTGACGTTGAGGCTCTACAGCATGTTTGCTCTGAGGATCACCATCTATGAAGTCGGCAAACCCTCGAACCAAATGTGCCATTAGGGAAACACGTTTATGCACAACTTCTCTTGGTCTTCCTTGCTGCACTGCGTACACTATCTTGTGAGGGAGTTGGCCTCTTCATTATATATAGAGGGGCAAAATCATGGATCTTCATTACATGTCACATGGCTTGAGTACGAAGCTAAGTCCGCAAGTTGCCTCTTGGTCTTCCTTAGGGAAACACGTGCCATTAGGGAAACACGTTTATGCACAACTTCTCTTGGTCTTCCTTGCTGCACTGCGTACACTATCTTGTGAGGGAGTTGGCCTCTTCATTATATATAGAGGGGCAAAATCATGGATCTTCATTACATGTCACGTGGCTTGCGTACGAAGCTAAGTCCGCAAGTTGCCTCTTGGTCTTCCTTAGGGAAACACGTGCCATTAGGGAAACACGTTTATGCACAACTTCTCTTGGTCTTCCTTGCTGCACTGCGTACACTATCTTGTGAGGGAGTTGGCCTCTTCATTATATATAGAGGGGCAAAATCATGGATCTTCATTACATGTCACATGGCTTGAGTACGAAGCTAAGTCCGCAAGTTGCCTCTTGGTCTTCCTTAGGGAAACACGTGCCATTAGGGAAACACGTTTATGCACAACTTCTCTTGGTCTTCCTTGCTGCACTGCGTACACTATCTTGTGAGGGAGTTGGCCTCTTCATTATATATAGAGGGGCAAAATCATGGATCTTCATTACATGTCACATGGCTTGAGTACGAAGCTAAGTCCGCAAGTTGCCCCTTGGAAGCGAGATTCTGTAATTCATAAGGATAGAATTTTTTTGACCTGAATTGATAACGATAGATTCGTTCATATAGTTTCGCAATGGCGTATCAATGTGACAAGAAAAAGCATTCGACGATATATTGTTTTCGAAATATTTAGATATCGATGTTTCAAGCATATGCTGTGGCTAAACTGAATTCTATTTTTTTTTTTTTGTTCGAATGATTTGTATTGAACTGCTGATCAGCTTATAAATTTGAGTATCTCTTATAGGATGTGTTTCATCTAAGGTTGAAAAACTTGGTTAACAAATTTTGATCAGAACTTAATAAACGTTCAAGACTTTAAGAAGTTATAGGACGGGGAAAAAAGTCTATTTAAACAGTACATTTTAGAAGAATCAAAGGCGAATAAGGGGGTGTTTGGATAGAAACCAAACCATGATTTCAGAAGTGCTTTTACGGATTACGAAGTAAATATGTGGAGGAAGTTATCTCGTTTTACGGAAAAGTGATTATGAAACTTTGGTTTTGGTTTTGCCAAACACCCCTTAAATCACCATAAGCGATGACTCCATATTATTTACACTATTGAAGCGTCTTGTCGTTTTGCTTACAACATAAGCGATGACTTCATGTCGTTTTCGGAACCAAGACGATCAAAAATTAATGGTCCCAACAAGCACGCGGAGCGTCTCACTTTATATCGCCATTATCAGATACGCACCTTCATACAAAATTTATAAAGATAAATTGCAGTATTTAATTTATTATTTAGTATTATCCTTTATTTTACTAAAATTACATAATATAGTCAAGAGGATTATTTATATACTCCTCCGATCCTTAATATAAGACCCATTTAACTAATTTGATCAGATTAAGGAAATTAGGTAAGTTAGTTAATTATAAGAAAAGTAACACATTTTTCCTAAAACACCATAATCATCTTTCTTAATACCTCTCTCCCTTTTCTATTTGATTATGGTTGAGGGAGTATCTATAGGGGTAATTTAGAGAAAATTGATAAATATAAAAAATGGGTCTTATATTTAGGACCAAAACCAACTCAAGAATTGGGTCCTATATTAAGAACCGGAGGAGTATAACTCAAAGTTTGAGCCATTTTTTTTTTTAAGAAAAATGAAATTTAAAAGGATAGTCATATTTCAATAACAAAATAATTGATGGCTGAGAAGTAACTGCACAGAATAAACAAAGACATGCATCGATATTTTGAGTATTCACCTCGCGTCTTGGTGGCGACCAAGAATGAAAGGTTGGATTTCTGATTAAAAAAAAAATGAAAAATTAATCTTTTGGTCCTTCAACTTTTAACTCGCTTATAACTCAGTCCCTCAACTATGACTCAGTATGACCCAGTCCCTGAACTTTTGACTCGTTTATGACTCAGTCCCTTATCTTTTAATTTTTTATATTATTATCCTTATAATTTACAGCTCAGATTAGGTCATCCTATGTGGCATAAATGGTAAAACACCTTGCCTCCAACTCAGCTCCACGTAACACAAAAAATAACGACAGGCGAAGAAGAGAAGACGGATAGGGTGTGGAGGTTTATTCAGGAACACAAAGGGAGAGTTCATATCAGCATTCATGCATCACGATCAACAAGGAGATAACGTTACAGCAGAGCTGTGGACGCTATTACTTGGGGTAAAAATGGCTCGGGAACAAGGCACACGTCGACTCGTGGCGGAATCTGATGCGTATGAAATGGTCATACTAGTCTCGTCCGATACTAACCAGCATCATAAAGACTTCAACCTTGTTATGTAGATCAAATCCATCCTTGCTCATGACTGGGAGTGAGGATAAAGCACATAGCTAGAACAGCGAATTGTGCAGCTAATCTCTTGGCAAAACAAGCTCTGAATGTACCTGATAAATTCCATTTCATCACTTCTCCCTCGTAGGACTTGCAGGAAATCATAGCGAAGGATAGGCAGAATATATACTTGGACTCTGGATAGTTCCTAACCAGAGTTGGCTACTCGACTTTTATCAAAAAAAAAAAAAAGACGAGAAGACAGATGAATAGGAAGAGAAAAGGCCAAAACAGGGGATAAACAGAGACAAAGCCGAGAGATATACTTGTGTAACAACCAAAGATAGGTAATATCGGGATAGCAGACATTTTAAACAAGCAAGAGATGAAGTTGAGTTTTATATCGTAATAGCAGAGCTTTTGTGCGGGTGTCAAGATGATTCAAAATGATTTTAATAAGATAAAGCTATTAAGTTGAGGAATGAAGGAGAGTCGGTGAGTAAGATTTTAAAGGAGATAATGTTTGGTTTTGAAAACGGGGAAAGAGTGTACAAAGCTTCCTCCTGATCGACCCTTGATAATTTAATAATTTTCAGAGAGAAAAAAAGAAGAAGGGAGAGAGTGGGAGTGAAGGAATTGAACCTGGGGAAAAAAAAAAATAAAGGCCAGGCATTTTCAAAATCAAAAGAAGATCAGTGAGGCCATAATGTTGCAGAGAGGGATGCCGGTGCCGATCACCAGTACAGCATGTGTGGGCTGCGTTGTGAAAGGCTGTGTTATCTATGCCTCTGTATTTCAGATTCGTCGCTTGTCTTTTTTAGTTGTGACTTTTTGTGTTGCGTGGAGCTGAGCTGGAAGCAAGGTGTTGTATCATTTATGCCACATAGGATGACTCAATCCCAACTGGAGATTACAAGGATAATAATAAAAAAAAATAAACGAGTCAAAAATTCAAGGACTGAGTCGCACCGAGTTAGGAACTGAGTTATAATTGAGTTAAAAGTTGAAGGACTAAAAGATTAATTTTCCAAAAAAAAAAAAAGAATGATGGGAAATACTGCTCCCTTTATTTCTTATTATAAAATCCATTTAACTGTATAACGTGATTTAAAAAAACTGTTAAAATTAGTTAAAAATAGTAAATATGTTATAAATATATTTTTTCCCCCCAAATATGCCCTTATTTATAAGTAGGTTGATATGAGTGAGAAAAAAATGAGAGAGAATATACAGGGAAAAAATAATGAGAGAGAGTATATTAATTAAAAATAAAATGGGTAAAAAATGTATTTATCGTTTAGACAAACCCAAAGAGATTTTATAAATAAGGACAAACAAATTTAAAAAATTGAATATTATAATAAGCAACGGGAGTACTAATTAAGAAGGAAAATGATATATCAGATTATGAAAGTAGAGTGAGATAGATGATAAGAATCCATTGAATTAGTAAACATACATGGACTGCTCAAATTTTGTGGTGATTCATAATAAATATGGAAATGGCCGATAAGAATAGAAAGAGCTCTAAAATTGGAGATCGATGAGGCACAGCTCAATCACTGCGAATATATATATACTCATATTACATCTTTAGCACTAACATAACATTCATGGCTTCTATCCCGGCTTCTCTGCTGCTCCTATTAGCACTCTTCACAGCAAATCTTCGCATCACAGGTCCTCATCTGATTTCCAGGTTATCTCCTTTGTAAGATTACTCTCTGCAACCATAAATATATGCGCGCGCGCGCAACTCAGATAGCGCAGAAGTATATATATGTACAGCAGGCTCGGTTGCAATTAAAGCTACATAGAGTTGAACATAATCCTAGCTAGTCTGTGTGTTTGGCCTTTTGTAATATATAGATACATGGAGCCAAGTAATCAGTAGTCACGAAAATTGTTCCAAGTGTATCATGGTTTTTACCGGGGTATATATGCACAGTGATTACCGGGGTATATAAATTCGGTTACAATAATGCAAGCATCTAAGCGCGCACACACACACACATATATATTATCATATTCAAAAATTAATAAAAATACTGTGAAAAGAAAGAATGAAATGGATGGTAGTTAAGTAAGTTAATTATATATCATCTATAGTTTAGTATAGTAGTGCTGGAGAATTTCAGTTTCGATTTTAAATTTCAATTTTCATGTGTTAAAAAGGTATAATGGACGAAATAAAGCTGATACTTGAACACGGTGTGTGATTAGAATAGGAGGGTCGGTTTTGCAGCTAATTGTGAGATGTGTGAAGCCTTTAGACAGATATAGAATTAGCGAAAAGGGAAAATGATGAGTGATATGAAGGAGATTTGGTATCCGAAGGATGAAACAGAGATGTTTCTGTCTGTCTGCATTTGGCGTATTTGTGCATCTTCCCTCTTTCACGCAGCAACGTCGTACCACCTTTAAGATATACACACACACATATATATATTGAATGATTCGCTTCTTATACATGCTATTAACTGTGATCCTGAATATAAAGAGAATCGCTATAAAATCCTAAGAAATGGATGCAATTACTAAAAAATTTTAATAACAATAATGCGTTACTACCTTCGATCTTTAATATAAAGATTAATTTGACCTTCAATTTAGTTCTAAATATAATATCTTAATCTATTTTGTCTCCAATGTTTATTTATTTTTGTAAAATAATCTTTGTATTAGTTGCACATGTTAAATATTCCATCAAATAGTAGTTCTGACTAATATGCATGATCAACAAAGATATTTTAGGAAAAACAACACTTATTTATTAAAAATAACTTAACAAATTTTCTTAATCCACTTAAATTAGTCAACTAGCTTTTATATTAAATACCGGAGGTAGTAATAACTTTCAAACCAATGTAGAGAATGACAATAGCCGCCTTATTATTGAGATTTTTTTGGTAATTTTTCCTAGAATACACGACCGAATTAAAAAGAGCACTGTAATAATGGATGGCTTCCATGGAATGGGCCAATTGGAGTATTTAGAAGTGTAAATGACGACAAGTTTTTGCTCAATGGGTTATGAACATAATGGATGAATATTGGAGTATTGTAGCTGCAACTTGGAATCATACACATGTAGGAGGGAATGGAAGGTTGGCACTACGTGTGGCTGCTGACAGGAGGAAGGAAGATATTTCAGTTTCACAAGTCAACTCTCATCCCATCAGGCTTATTCAATATTATGTTATACTACTTCTAGGACTTAATATAAAAATTTATTTGATTTTTATTTTAGTTCTAAATATAATATCTCAATCCACTTTCTCTCTCATATTTATCTATTTTTTTCTAAGGCAGTATTTGTAATAATAGTAATTCTGGTCAATACATTTGATTAGTAAGGATATTTTAAAAAAGACAACACTTATTTATTACAAATAACTAACTTAACAAGTTTCTCTTATTTACTCAAATTAGTCAAGAAACTCTTATATTAAGAACCAGAGATAATATAATGGTGGAAAACTCTTGCAAATTGCAACAATATTGATTCAACCATATACATCCAATTCAATTTAATGCTAAAATGACGAGGATCCCATTACCTTGTGACAACAGTGCCCTGTAACAATTTCATGGCTGCTTGCACTTTCAATATACATAATGGATATAGAAATCCTGAAAGCAAAAAAAAAAAAATGATAATGTGTAATGTAAGTTCATGCTTAGTGTGAGTGGATTTAAGTCCATATATATATATATATATATATATGTATGATAAAATAATTGGAAGGATTCATGAACATAGAGTTAGGATATGGCGTATCTCTTCTGTATATGTAAACGTCAAGATAAATTTACTGTTGTGCGCAAAGTGAAGCACTCTTATATATGTTTGCAAGCATTATTAAAATCTAGTTTGATTTTTGTAAATAAAGACAAGATAAATCAATCGGATCAATTGGAAATATCAAAGTGGGCTAATTTTTTCCCCCAGCCCTATCATTACAATGGTGGACTGACTTCTCGATTTTTCTTCGCCGTAATGCATTGCAATCCAATTCCACTGCCCGCGAAGCCTTTAGATATATGCATAGAAGAAATTTCTTTTTTATTTCATACTCCCTCCGTTCCTTATTATAAGAGACAAATAATCGAAGTACGTTGATAAAAAAAATAGTTAAAATTAGTTAAGAACAATTAATGTGTAAAAAGTATAATTATTTTTCCAAAAATGCCCTCATTAATAAGGAGAGAGAACAATTAAATTATTAAAAGAAAGAAAAGTGGGAGGGAGAGAGAGTGTGAGTTAGAGATAATAAATATGGGTAAAATAGGAAATCAACACAAAAAAGTAGAGACAACTTTTAAGTGTCTCTTATATATAGGAACATGCCATAAGTATCAAATGTCTCTTATAATAAGGAACGGAGGGAGTACTATTTATTATGTTTTCTGGCGTTTATGTCCAGGAATCCCCACTTACACTTGAAGTTTTTATTATTTAGTATTGTAGATAAGAACTTTATAAAATATTAAATCTAAATTATTTAAGTTTAACATGATGGTTGATAACGAAAGGTGAAAAAGAAGCGGAACGAGAGGCGAGTGGAGATGATCCACGCCAGAGACTAATGTAGCCAACGATGGGAAAGAGAGAGGAAGAAGGAAGGAAGGAAGAAAATATGACGAGTATTAACTGTTAATTAAGCTACAAGCCTATAACGATGTTCTTACTAATTGATGTGAGCCGCAAAATAATCATTAAATTAATAATTTTTTTCAAAGGATGTAACAGTTAAATACACATAGAGAATGTAATTAAAATAATGTTGGGGGTGGGCCATATCCATTGTCTATAAATAGAGAGAGTTAGAGATTTAGAGATGAGACAAAGCAAGTGATTGTGTAGTGATGATATCTTCAGACATTATGACTGGGAAGGCTGCCTTCATGGCTTCTCTACTCTTCCTATTCGCACTCTTCACCTCAAATCTTCGCATCACAGGTGATCCATCTCCCCCCACCTCTCATTAATATTCAGCCATCACTCTTTTATGATTCAGTTTTTAACAAGCAGGATATATCAGTCCGTAGATTTTGATACTTCTGACAAACCAATACTCTCTGAGCATTAGAAAAGAAAACCTTTATCTTTAATTAGTTTTATATATGGACGTACTTTCATTTGTATCTGCTGCTTAACAAAAATCTTTCTATATGACATGCTTAGTTAATAATATGTTACGGTATCTGTTTTGGCCAGGCTAGTTACATTTTTGCAGAAGAGATAAGCAGCTACTTACTTTTTTTGATCCTTGTGTGATGAAATTGTTAAAAAGTACTCTATTCCAGGATACAAACACTACTCTACATTCTCTTTCCTTATAATTATAAATAGCCATCGACTTAATATAATTATCTTTCAAATCAAAACGTTTTTTCCCACTCCAAAGGTTTGCAGTTAAAAAATGCCGGCCGACACAGACGAAATCAACTTTTCTTAAATAAATCATTATTCCCCATATGGATTACAAATTTAACACACACAAACTTAATTCTACGTCAAGCAGATGCTCAGATCGGTGTTTGCTATGGCATGATGGGCGACAATCTGCCATCCCCACGCGATGTTGTGAATCTTTACAGAGCCAACAACATCAAGCGAATGAGACTGTACGATCCCAACCAAGCAGCTCTTGAAGCTCTCAGAAACTCCCGCATCGAGCTCATGCTCGGCGTCCCCAACGTCGACCTTCAGAGCCTAGCCAACAACGCCGACGCCGCCCGCCAATGGGTTCAACGCAATGTTCTCAACTACTACCCCTACGTCAACATCAAATACATCGCCGTCGGCAACGAAGTGAACCCCGTCGGACGCAACAGAGAGCATTCGCCGTACGTCCTTCACGCGGTCCAGAACGTGTACCAAGCCATAAAGGCGAGACGCCTTCAGGACCAAATCAAGGTCTCAACCGCCATTGACACGACCCTCGTAGGGACCTCGTACCCTCCGTCCAAAGGTAGCTTCCGGGACGACGTCAGATCATACTTGGACCCTATCATACGTTATTTGGTCAACGCAAAGGCACCATTGTTGGCTAATGTATATCCTTACGTCAGCTATGCCGATAACCCTCGTGACATATCTCAGCAATATGCTCTGTTCACTGCTCCAAACGTGGTGGTACAGGACGGTTCGAGGGGGTACCAGAATCTGTTCGATGCCATGTTGGACTCGGTTCATGCCGCTTTGGATAACACGAGGATTGGGTATGTGAAGGTGGTCGTGTCGGAGAGTGGGTGGCCTTCTGATGGGGCGTTTGCGGCTACCTACGATAATGCGAGGACGTACCTGGACAATCTGATTCGACATGTCAACAGGGGCACTCCGATGAGGCCTGGACCTATAGAGACGTATGTTTTTGCAATGTTTGACGAGAACCAGAAGTACCCAGAAAGGGAGAAACATTTTGGGCTGTTTTATCCCAGCATGCAGAGGAAGTACCCCTTTGGCTTTGGGGCGTAAAAGAGCTCTAAAATTGATGCACATATAATATATAACATAACGTTTCCTTAAAAGTGATGGTAGTTAATGAATAAGGTTTTGAGTATTGATATACGACAAATACTCCTACATGTGTAATTTCGAATGCGAATAAAAATGAAGCGTCTGCAGTTTGAATGCCTTTAATATATGAATATAATCCACGCAAAATCCCTTTCTTACACGGCAAGGGCGCCGATGATCGATTGAGTTAGATAGATCCGGAGATGATCAGCATTCCTGTTTCTACATAGTTTATAATTAAATTTTGGTTTTAATCCCTATAGTTTCATAAGGAATTGTTTGGCTATGAAAGAATAAATGTGTATGAATATGCTTGTGAATCGAAGTACGTAGGAAATAAGAATATGACCCATTCTCTGGCCAAGCATAATTTCATTTTCACGACTAAATGTTGAAGTGATGAGGCAGAGGCGTGTTTAAACTTGAGCAAATCTTCGCATCACAGGTCATCATCTTATTTCCAGGCTATCACTCTCTGCAACCATGAATATGTGTGTGTGTGTGTGCGCGCGCGCAACTCAGATAGCACAGAAGTAAATATATGTACAGCAGGCTCGGTTGCAATTAAAGCTACATAGAGTTACGTTGAAGAAAATCCTAGCTAGTCCGTGTGTTTGGCCTTTTGTAATATATGTGTGCGTGTGTGTGCGCGCGCATATATATATAGAGCCAAGTGATCAGTAGTCATGAAATTGTTCCAAGTACATAACGGTTTTTACTGGGGTATATATGCATAGTGATTTCTCTTTTCTTTGAAATAGAATTAGATTAGAGCTAGAAATCAACATTGATATTACTGGCCTAATTAAAAACAAAAACTTGCTCATTCAGGAGAAATTACAAACATCATCCAGTGTTTGACATAATTAGGTAAGAAGTCCATTGCCTCAGGTAGTGATAGATTAAGCAAAAAATTGTGGCAGAGCAGGTGGCCAAATAGGTGTTTGCTATGGCATGCTGGGCAATAATCTGCCATCTGCTCGGGAGGTTGTGGATTTTTACAAAGCCAACAACGTTAAGCGAATGAGACTGCACGATCCCAACCAAGAAGCTCTTGAAGCTCTCAGAGACTCCGGCATCGACCTCATGCTCGGCGTCCCAAACACCGACCTTCACCGGCTCGCCACCAGTGCCGACGATGCCCGTCAATGGGTTGAAAACAGCGTTTCCAAATTCTACCCCTCCGTCAATATCAAATACATCGCCGTCGGCAATGAAGTAAACGCCGTCGACGGAGCCAACAGGCAGTACGCCCCGCACGTCCTTCCGACGATCCAAAATGTGTACCGAGTCATACGTGCGAGAGGCCTTCATGAGATCAAAGTCTCAACCTCCATTGACATGACCTCCATAAGAAACTCATATCACTATAAAAAAAATTGACTTTCAGCGGATAAAAAGTCACCGCTGAAAGTCTTGTCGCCGCTAAAAAAGATTGTCGCTGAAAATCTACTTTCAGCGGTGACTTTTTTTGTCGCTTCTGAAAGTCTTAGTTTCAACGGTAAATTTTTAGCGGCAACAACTGAAAGTCATCACCTAGAGTCTTTTTTTGGTAGTGTATCCTCCATCTCAGGGTAGCTTCCGAGACGACGTCAGATCATACTTCGATCCTATCATAGGCTACTTGGTGCTCGCAAAAGCGCCCTTATTCGCCAACCTTTACTTCGCCTATAGTAGGAGCCGGCCTGGCGACATACCTCTGAATTACGCTTCGTTCACTGAACCAAGTATGCTGGTTCAGGATGGTTCGAGAGGGTACCGGAATCTGTTTGATGCCATGTTGGAGTCGTTGCATGCAGCTTTGGATGGTACGAGTATTGGGCCGGTGAAAGTGGTTGTGTCGGAGAGTGGGTGGCCTTCCGCTGGTGCGGAACATGCCACTGAGGATAATGCCAGGACTTACCTGCAGAACTTGATTCCTCATGTTAACAGAGGTACTCCTATGAGGCCTGAACCTGTGGAGACGTATCTTTTCGCTATGTTCGATGAGAATAAGAAGGTGGGACAAGAGACGGAGAGACATTTTGGGCTCTTCTATCCCAACAAACAGAACAAGTAACCCTTTGTTTTTGGGGCATAAGAGTGCTCACATAATATTATAATATATATAGAGAGAGAGAGAGAGACACACGCATGGACACACTCAGTTAAATAGCTCTTACATATTAAAGAGCCAGGTAGTACTATATATGTTTAGTTGAAACGTTTTCTCTGAAAAGAAGTAACATTCAGTTAACGGTGAGTAATGATATGTATGATACGAGTACGGTGCAGTCCTCTCTCTGTGAGATTTCGTTTACGAATGACGAAGATATCTCTGTTTGTACGTCTTGCGTTATAAGTTATCAAATATTTGTTTTCTTCCCAAGTTAATTTTTATATCTTGAAGTTCTAGTTAATGTCTTCAATTTCTTTTAAAAAAATTGCAAGTGTGTTGTAATAAATGCGGTTGCAAGAATGCAAAGCATCAAAGCAAATTATCATATTCAAAAATTAATAAAAATACTGTGAAAAGAAATAATGAAATGGATGGTATTTAAGTAAGTTAATTATGTATCCCATCCATAGTTTAGTGCAGTAGTGGTGGAGAATTTGAGTTTCGATTTTAACTTTCAATTTTCAAGTGTTAAGAAGGTATAATGGACGAAATAAAGCTGATACTTGAGCACGGTGTGCGATTAGAATAGGAGGGTAGGTTTTGCAGCTAATTGTGAGATGTGCGAAGCCTTTAGACAGAGACAGAATCGATGAAAAGCAAAAATGATGAGTGATATGAATTCGAATGAGATTTGGTTTCCGAATGGTGAAACAGAGACGTCGCTGTCTGTCTGTATTTGGCGTATTTGTGCATCTTCCCTCTTTCACGCAGCAACGTGGCGCTACCTTCAAGATATACATATAAATATATATATTATATTTATTTATTTGAATGATTCGCTTCTTATACATGCCATTAATCGTAATACTGAGCATAGAGAGAATAGCTATAAAATCTCAAGAAATAGATGTTGTTACTAAAAAATTCTAATAACAGCAAAGCAGTACTACCTCCAATTATTAATATAAAGGCTGCTTTGACTTTGAATTTAGTTCTAAATATAAGATCTCCATCTATTTTGTCTCCCATATTTACTCAGTTTTTTTAAATAGTTTTTGTATTAGTTGCACATATTAAAGATTCCATCAAATGGTAGTTTTAACCGATATACATTATTAGTAAGAATATTTTATGGAAGACAATATCTATTTATTACAAACAATTAATTTAACAAATTTTTTTAATCTATTCAAATTAGTTAACTAGTTCTTATATTAAAATAGTAATAACTTTCAAACCAATACAGAGAATGACAATAGCCGCCTCATTCCTGAGACTTTTTGATAATTCTCGCTAGAATACATGATAGAATTAAAAAGAGCACTAGAATAATAATAATGGATGACTTCCATGGAATGGGCCAATTGGAGCATTTAGAAGTATAAATGATGTCAAGTTTTTGCTCAATGGGTTATGAACATAATGGATGAATATTGGAGTATTGCTGCAACTTGCAATCATGCACATGTAGGAGGGAATGGGAGGTTTGGCCCTACGTGTGGCTCCTAACAAGAGGCAAGATATTTCAGTTTCACAAGTCAGCATATTCTTGAAACTCTCATCCCACCAGGCTTATTCAATATTATATTATACTATCTCTAATCCCTATTATAAGAGTTAATTTAACTTTTATTTTGATCCTAAATTTAAGATCATAATTCACATTATATTATTTTTCATATTTATCTATTTTTTTGCAAGGTAGTCCTTGTAATAATAGTAATTCTAATCAATATACTTGATTAACAAGGATATTTTAGGAAAGACAACACTTATTTATTACAAATAACTAACTAAACAAATTTTTTTTAATCTACTCAAACTAGTTATCTAGCTCTTAGATTAAGGATCGGAGCTAGTATAATGGTGGAAAACTTTTGCAAAATTGCAACAATAGTGATTCAACCATATACATCCTGTAACACCTCACATAATTATATCCATTTTATTGGATAAAATATTGCATGTAAAAGTCCATACATACTACTTCATCCCTTATTATAAGATTCTTTTAACTAAATTGCGTGTTTTAAGAAAATAGTTAAAATTAGTTAAAAAGCAATTAATATGTAGCAAATACAATTTTTTTCCAAATATACCCCTATATATAAATAAGTAGATGTGAGAGAGTAATAGTGAGATAAATAAAAAAAGAGAATATATTAAATGCATTAAACTATGGATAAAATAGGTAATAATATATTAAATGTTCAGACAAACTAAAAAAGGATCTTATAAAAAAAGGATAAACCTATTCAAAAAATTAGATCTTATAATAAGGGATGGAGGGAGTACTTCTAGCTTTCAATACAAGTCATAATTTTAAAATATTTTTTGTCATAATTTAACACAATAAACTATTGAAATTTTATAATCATGACAAATAAAAATATAACATATAATGTGTTTAAGGAGTATAGAAGCCTGTACGCCTCACTCTATTGGTACTTTTCCTTGATTCCTACTAGATCCTTCACAAAATTGTTAATATAAGAAATGAGATCTAACATTTCAGTAACTACTGAAATTCTAACCTATACAAGCAAATCATATATGACACACAAATCCGATCATATGTATATATATTTATGTATGGAAATCACGGATTTATACATTCAACTCAATTTCATTTTTAATTCAACAATATACCAACAGCATTTTTCAATGTATCCAAAAATAATTCAATATGCATCATTTCTTATATCACCGTTCACCCTTATATCACTAACTAGAGCCATAGGCTAACACATAGTCCAATAGGAACTAATCCATTTTACTTAATTATTCTAAGCTCATAAAAAATGGAGATAGATCTAGCCAAAGATATAAATCTCAAGTTCGGACTATGGCTCCCCTCTTTTGCAAATAAAATAAGGAGGTGTCATATTGTCCGCAGCTCCAATAAATTCCCAGCCAAAAGAAAACTTGGAAGAAGGGGCCTTGACAAGTATTGTCCACTATGCACTGAGTGATGACATACCATATGGTAATTTTATATCCATACAAATCTCCTATCCTTAGCCCAACAATACATCTATCATATGCAAATAATATCACATCAGAAGTACGTCCTCTATATTATTAAAAGTAAGATAGCAATAAAATTTCAGTATCAATAACTATCAATATATTTAAATATTGATCATAATTAATAGCAATAAATCTTAACAAATGAAAGTAACATATTAAAACATTTATTTGAAAAGTCATAACACATACATATATTTCAATATGGTATAATAAAAAATCCACAATATAATCATACACAATTCACATGTACATAAAAGAATTTTTAGAGTTACCTGTTACTTTTTAGTTTATAAATATTCACACAATGATTACTCCAAAATTTTTAAGAGTTTACAAAATTACACATAAATATTTATTAATATGTAACAAAACTATTCTAAAATTCTAAGACTACCCTCTAAACTAAAATTACAGAAATATATTAACTCACCCAGATCTAGCTATTTATAATGGATAAAATATTATTTGAAAATAAACTTTTTTTGTCATATAAGAAAATATTTAAAATTAATGACTTAAATAAATATATATTTATTACCCCAAATCTAAATATTTTATATTAAAATTCTCAATTTTCAATTTTTCAAGCCTTCAAAAATTATTTCAACAATAGATCTTTAACTTATTCAATACTCAAACTGATTAAAACCTCAATAATATATTAAATAACTCAAATAAATTATTTCACTTAAATTTAATCAGTAAAAACATTCTATAGATCTTAAATAACAAAATTTTCAATTAAAATCTTAATTTACATTTCTCAAAACAATCATTGAATAAATATAAACCAATTAAAATTCTTTAATAATGTATCTTTAAATTTCTATGATTATTTATTGTCAAAATCCCATATTTACTCCATAACTAAATTGTAAAATTTTCTCTAAACATTATAACGATACTAAAAATATAAGGGTTAAGGTGCACCCAGCACCCCTAAGTATTTTGTCAGGTGCACCCAGTGGCTTAAAGTAATTTATGGTGCAATTTTGCCCTCAAAGTAATTAAAATGGTGCACCGGTATCCCATGCTAACAGATCTGTTAGTTTGATCGTTAAATTGATGAGTCAGCACAAGTTTGACCAGAAAATCTGACGTGGCATGTTTAATAAGCAGGTGATGTGGAGTTTTTTTGGGGTTAAGGTGCATCCAGCACCCCCAAGTATTTTTATAGGTGCACCCAATGGCCTAAAGTAATTTATGGTGCAATTTTGCCCTCAAAGTAATTAAAATGGTGCACCGGTATCCTATGCTAATAGATCTCTTACTTTGACTGTGAAATTGATGAGTCAGCACAAGTTTGACTAAAATAATCTGACTTGGCATGTCTAATAAGCAGGTGATGTGGAATTTTTTTCGTCTGCCACTGCTTTGTTTTCTCTGTTCAGTAAATGCTCTCTTTGGCTCTTGGAATTTTTTTCAGAGTAAGAAATTTTTTCAGAGATACTCCTCTAGTTCTATTTATAGGGTAGAGAGAAAAGATATTTTTTGGTCCTATTTATAAGGCACTGAGAGAAATTTTTTATATGGATGTACAAATTTACCCCTAATTTATTATTGTATCGACTTTGTTTATATGAGGTATAATGTATATTAAATAGGGATAAAGTTGGAAAGTTATTAAAATTTAAATGAGAGTTAATGAAATTTAGGGTTTTCCTTGGTCTGTGTGAAACATACTGGAAGTGCCTTATAAATAAGACAAGAGGAGTAATATTCAGACAAAACAATGGAATTAACAAAAAAAGCCATGTCACCTGCTTATTAGACATGCTAGGTCAGATTATTTTAGTCAAACTTGTGCTGACTCATCAATTTCACAATCAAAGTAACAGATCTGTTAGCATGGGATATCGGTGCACCATTTTAATTACTTTGAGTGCAAAATTGCACCATAAATTACTTTAGGCCAGTGGGTGCACCTGGAAAAATACTT